TGAAGAAAAAAGGAGAGAGCGCATGTGAGAGAAGAAACAGCCAAGACCACTGGGAAATTATACGGTGGAGCAGCGTGGTGGATCTGGAATTAAACGGCATAATTAATCAAGTAAAAAAACAAGCACGTTGCTCATACATTTATTATTTGCATTTTTTCCACTTCAGGAGATGTAATCAGCAGATATACATTGGGGCCACTGATCCTTGTCACAAGGACCTGAAGGCTGAGCGCCTGTTTCGACCACTGACCCTCAAAGTATAAACTAGGATCAGTTCTGCCCAATGCTTTTTTTTAAATTCCTCACTGACTATCATCTTCACACAATGCCCTCTGCCTCCAAAGTAATCTCTACAACAAGCAGAACAAGCCTCACAGAATCACGTTGTTGTCTCCCTATGCTTTAAATTAGGGCGTCTGCAAAATTGGGTTCACAACTCTGGGCCCTCGGCGGAGTTGTTCTGTATTATGAGGTGCGCGCTCTTGGCACGATGAAGAAAAAAAAACCCAAAAAATAGCCACTTTTGGAAAAACATGGTGGACTTGCAGGAATATGATCACACAGCTGCAAAGGCAAAGCCGTGTAAACATGGGGCGAAGGAAATTCAGAATGGCAAAATGTGGCAACAAAACTCGCACCGGGCTTCATGACATTTTGTAGCACTGTAACCGCGTGACAGCTGTTGCTTCTTCTTTCAGTGTTCCCTGGTTTCCCTCTAAGTGATCCCCGCCTCTCTTAAAGATGCACTTACAAATTGGGCACAGATGATTTAGCTTATTTGAAGCTCGGTTAGCTGTCTCATCTAGCTGTAATAAGCCATTTATCAAATTACTGATTGGCACGTGTTTTTCTCACCGCCTTCTTCTTTTGTAGCAGACAAATGCTGCTGATTGGAGTTAAACCTAACTTAAGCCAACATTTGGAGTTATAAAAATTTAATGTCACCCCTTATAAGCTGTGGTTTTTTTTTTTTGAAGGGCCCCTTTGTGTGACCCTGGCCTCCCTGGCCTGTGGTCACTTTGACTGTGATATGATATGCAAAAAGTTGTTAAGTGCATGAATGCATATTAAATCCCTCTCAGGAAGCCCAGAGTTGTCTTAGCAGACATTTACACTATGTAGATCCTCATTTCATAAAAAGCTAATTAAATGTATGCTAGCATGCACACAGAACTTTGACTTACTTTCAGACATTTGAATGTTTTTTAATCAGCATATCCCATGTATCCTAATATGTTTTCCTCATTGTTCTGTGATCAGTGAAAATGTAAGGCGTATTTATAGGATCTGATCTCTTAGCTCATCTCATACACACTACATTTTACTCACTTATCAATCCTTTATAAGTACTGGCAGTAAGAGTAGCTATAACAGGCTGTTTTTTATTGTGGGAATATTGATTTCCCCCCTCCATGCGCCACACATACACACAGGATAATCAGCATGAATGGGTCATATATACACATTTGCACATCATGGATATCCTCCGCTTTCACCCACGTTATACCCATTACACATAAATACCTCCGCCAAACAGTTTGAAACGTATCACTCTTCAGCTGGTCAATATGGCTTGTTCCTGAAGCGCCATCATCAATCGAGGTATCAATATGGAAATACCACTGTGACCCAGACATTAATCAATTGGGCTCCTCGGGGAGGAGAGGCAGGGCAGGGGCACCTAAAATCATCAATGAGACGGATCGGGCCGCAGTCAGGCTCGGACAGTCTGTATTGATAAGAGCATTTCCACCTGTAGCGGCCCGAGCGGAGAGACAGGTCGCATCTGAATTCAATACCCGCCGCCGCAGCTGCGCGCTCCGAGCCCAGAAAGACACGGTTGAGCGGAGATACGTGCCTCGACTTATCATAAGACCAGTCTCTTTTCTCCATATATGTCGCCTTCCTCCTCCTCCTCCTCCTCATCCCCATCCACAATCTTTTCCTTCTGCCTCAGAACTTTTAGGCCAATGCGCCGCGCGGAAAAAGCATCACGTCTCTAACGCAGACTAACAATGACTTTAAATTAAGTTCTTTTGTCTTTATTCCGAGGCTTACTTTGCTGAGCACCCCCTCCCGCCACCGCCTCCCTCTCCTCTCACAATCTCTGGAGTTTAGTCAAACCTGTTTCCTCCCCCAACTTCAGACTGTGAGAGAGGAAGTCAGTGAGAAAAGTCTTCAGATGCTCGTTTCTCGCATCCACCTCGCTGCGAGCGCGGGATTAAAGTGCCTTCTCACCGCTGACACCCAAATCTTGACACAATCAATTAGATCCGCGCTCACTGCTTTTGCTTCGTTTACCCAGATACAGTAAGCAGAGAGGTGGATGGTTGGTAGCGTGAGACAAGTCAGCCTCCTAGTGGTGCGCTTGCGTATGCGCAAGGAAGAGGAGGAGGATCGCTTTACTAAAACAAAGTGGAACATTAGATCAGTGCAGCCGGGTAAAGAAAAGGCAAAGGTTGGGTTCGAAACCGTGCAAATCTCCGTGAACGCAACATTGGCTTGTCAAGCAATGTTGACAGTCCCCATATTTGACTTCCAATCACATCCCAGAGCACTCTCTCCCTCATGGTGCTTCTTAAAGGTTAGAGTTCATGGGTCGTGTGTCCTGTGTGCACACAGGCCTGCCCTTTTCATTCCTAATCAGCTGCTCTTTTTTTTTCTTACTGTGCCAGAATGGAGCGATGCACCACAAAGGTCATGGACATGGATTTCCTTTGGTTTGACTCAATGAAAAGGTCAGATGAGGGCACCATGAAATGGCAGTGAGGCCTTCACATCGGCCACACAGGGACCAGAGTTCTCACATCACCCTGAAATGGCACAGACCGAGCCTCTCTTGGGCCGCTCTCACAGGATCCAGGAAGGTCCTGTGGGCTGCTGTGACCTTGTCCCCGTCCCCCTGTGACTTAAGTGTCCCTCAGCAGTGTGCAGAAAGAGCAGAGCATCAGACTGTGGTACAGAGATTTGTGTGAAACTAAACTTTTTTTTTTTTTTAGCCCATGGTATAAGTATACTTCTGCTAAACTGCATTATAATATACCAAAAAGCTGTCTTCTATAAAAGACTCTGTACTTTTCTCCATCCTGACATTTCTTGTTGAAATGTGAAATGTCTTTGCTAGTGTTTTTATATGTTTATAACAGCACTGTCTGTCTTTATAAAGGTGCACTAGATTCATATTTAGCTTCAGTTCACGAGACCACTTTTCTGTGGTGATCATAGCTCTCTTTGGCATCAAATCACAACACTTGCAGACATAGACAGGTAAACTACCAGCTCACTTACAGTTTTTTACAGACGCTAGGACACATTTCTCAATACTTAGGTCACTTTTGCAAAACTCCTCACACAGTGAGCACAACAGAAGTCTATGTGGGCTAAACTGAGGATCAGTTATCATTGTTTTGGCACAAAATGCATTCAATGACTACATCTCTCAAATTTCATGAATTATTTTCTCACTCAGACACAACAACTGCCAAAAATCTTTGTAGGTACAGGACATTTTGCATGTGCTTACATACTGTTTTCAAAACTGTTAAACTTATGGCCAAAACAATAACACAATGCAAAACTTAAAAAGACAGCAAAATCCAACAGCAATATTTTAGTGAAACATATTTTAAATCTAAAAATGCAGTTTAACCAGCCACAGCTGATTCTCATTGTAGATGAACATCTACACAGGTGTTACTCCTTCAATTGTTCAACTCCTTCAATTCTGGCATGCCAGAAGATTCTTTCCTGGGTGTATTGCCCTAGATGACATAAGATTTGATGTGGATGAGAACCTGTGGCCAAATGGAGGAGACCGAGTAGATTAGCATTACTATTGTATGTGTATCAGTGGATGGTGTGTATACAAATTCTTGTATTTTGGGATTACTTAGTGCAAAAAAATAAAAATACATAAACAAATATTAACAAATTCTGCATGATGTCTGATTCATTCCAGTAACATATATTGAAATAATAAACAGAGATGCGTCCTTGTTTTACACAAGAAAACACTGTGTAATGCTACTTGTTGTTAGTGTTTTTTAGGTCATTGTTTTGTGGGTGACAAAGTGTGTTTGTCGGCTGTCAACCTTTGCTAGTGTTCTGGAAGAATGAGTTTATTTGAGACCTGAATAAAGTGTTTTGGTAGTTGTAGTGCATTTTGAATGTGAAATGAGCTGCTTTGCCAAGCTGAAGGTCAGTTAGGAGAAATGTGTGAAGAGTTTTGCAAAAGTGACCTAAGTATTGTGAAATGTGTCCTAGCGGCTGTAAAAAACTGTAATATCCACTGGTTTAGTCGTCAGCTTCCTTCCTTCCTCCTTTAACTACAGCTTTGTTCAAATACCCCATTTAAATAAAGCAGCATTTTTGTTGAGCACCACCATAATTATCCAACAGCCTACAAAAATAGATGAAACGTGAGCATTACCTCTGTTTCAAACTGAATGACATTATTTTTAGATTGGAATTTCTTCTTATGATTTATCCCTATGGTGTTATGTGAATAAACTTAATAGTCAGTTTTTACCACTTTAAGGCTTTAAAATGTTGACAGAAATAACCCAAACACCATCTGGACACAAGTACACCCATAACATTTGACCAATCACACACCACCTTGGTCACTGAGAGCGATTAATGATTGTAAATATTTACCACAGTCTGTAGTTAATAGAATTAATTTCTATGACACCGTTTTTATTTTTTTCATTTCTTACGACAAAGCTTTATTAAGAGAGGATTCACCAGTTGAAATATCTGGGCTGTTATGGTAGCTTGGGGTTTCCTAACACATGACGTAACTAAACCGATAAAGAGACACAGGAGACGAGAGTTTTACAAGATTTGATTTATTAACTATGATACAGATCACATAAGGCCTTGCTGTATACACCATTCCCATTGAGACAAATTACCATACTCAGTAAATAATAAGTTTTTTTTTGTTTGATGTTATCATTTCAGTTTACAGTACTTCATTTATTTATTTTTGTATCATTTCCACCCCACCCCCCATCATTTCTTAATATTTTTTTTATTATCTCTTAAATAGTGAGAGTGGTGGAGCCCACTTCCTTGGTCCGGAAGAAATCATGCACTATACTGGGCTGGTCTCTCAATCGTTCATCAAGAAATTGTTAAAAATGCTTCTTTTTTTTAATTAATAAAATAAACCATAAAAAGAAAGTTTCTCTATCACCACTGACTAAAGGGAAAAGTGTTAGACCCCCTAACATACCAATAAACAACCATTTGAATATAGCTTTGCTTGTTTCTGAATTTAACTTAACAGACATCTGTCACCATTGTTGCAAAAAAGAAAAAAAAAACCAAGAAAAAGGAAAGCAATGCAGCCACAAATTATCGCTCAACCAAAGTCACATTTTCAATTTTTTTTAATTATCCAATGTTCTCCTAAACTGTCACTTTTGCTTCCCATCTCTCACTCAACCCTTTCCCCCTCCAGTCTTTGGCTGCCTCACAGTCAGTTCAGTATTAACACATTGATATACACAGGGAACGCCACTGGCCGGCGTTCACACACAAGTACCAGTGGGCACCCCTCCTTCTTCCCTCCGTCTCCCAAATAAAGATCCCATTCACCAGTTTGCTGTCTGTCTTCCCTCCCTCTCGCTCCCCCCTCCCCATCCTCTCTCACACTTTCACTGAGGATCAGTGTGTGTAATCTGGACGAGCTAACAGGGTTACACAGTTGGGTAATGACCGCGAGAGGAGCTGCATTCCTCTCCTTCACGTTCGGTGGGATCACACTGGTGTCTGGCCATTTGCCAAGCAACGCTTGCTAGCATGTTAGCTCCGACCTGCTCAAACACACACTCTTACACACAAACTGTACATACACTCACACACACGCAGTAAATAGGTAGTGTGGACTGATAAAAGCTCCTTTAAGAGTTCAGTGACTGGCTGAATGTTTTTTTTCTTATATCTTTGGGCAGAGAGAGAGAGACGCGCAAAGATGCAATTTAGTGTCAAACAGAGCAGGTGACCTCAGTGAGCATCTGCTTAACATTAACACGCATAACTTCACATTCTTACTCAAACTCAAAGCACGTGCATGAATGCACACGCACTGCAAAACCTGCTTCGATCGGGGCTCAGCAATTCTCCTCGAGCCCCATCTTGCTGGTTTCTACGGTAACAGCAGGCTGTGAGCAGAGGAATTCATTCGAGTCATGCAGACGGATGAATGGACTGTCTGTTCTGTCTGCTGTCTCTCCCGGACCCAACTGTCTCTCTTGGACAGCGAATGACGAGGGGAAGCGGCGGCGTAACAGTCACGATGGAGGGAGTTTGGCGTAGTGGTTGCACTCTTGCAAATTACATTTTGCGTCCACCAAGAGCAGGTTTTAATCTTTGTTTTAGAGACATGTCTCTAAACACTGTCTCATGAGAGGACAACACGCTGGGGCCTAGAGCAGCGGTTACCAATAATTTCCAAGGATTAAAAAGCCTCCCACCTCTCAAGGCTTGAGCCTTACTTCCAGCTCTTATTTCTTGCATGTAATGCTACATTGTGCCTCAGTCTCTAAGGCTTCATATTCTTTCTCTAAAATAACTTCTGGGTAGTGGAATGGACTCCTTTACAAAGGGCTGAATGTTGAGTCTGTGCCCACAGGGGACTAACAACTAAAGACACAAAGGCAATTTCATTCACTGCATGCTTAACCAACTGCAATGTGGCCACATGCTTTGCGGTTCCACTGTCAGGATCTATGTAATCTCAACTGATTTTTACCAGATTTAAAACTGCCACAGTTGCTTAATTTATAATTTTACACCTAAGTTTAACCTACTTGACAGATTATTCTTGACAATTGCACCTAAGAGAGAATCTGAAGCAACACAAACCACAGTAGGAGAAGGATGCTACGCCCATGCAGCAGTGGAAGCAACGGCAATACCCATTTCTTCCTCTAGATGTCAGTGGTGTGCTCTCAGAAAGAGACAGTAAGGTGGACTGACAATAAAGTGAACAGTGGCTGTCATGTCATGGCAGCTCCAATTTAAAATGTGCCTTAAAAGTGCTCAGAAAAGTGCTTTATGAACAAGGTCCTTGGTATGAAAACTGCAGCACCAGCTCACTCGTGAATCCACCACAGCGTGAAAGAAGAAACATGACAGGCGGGGATCCAAACCTGGAATTATTTCCACTCTCTGTCTAATGCAGGGAATTTCAACAAAACGTCAGGGATACAGGTGTGCTCAGGGAAGCAGCCAGCCAGCCAGCCACACATTACACTAGTTGCCAGTTCGGCTGGGATTTTTCATAAATGAACAACATAATAAAAACAAATGGGGACAGTGGTAATGGGAACGTTGACTGAAGGCTTTCACCAAATAAAATAAAATAATCACATTTTAAGCTGTTTGTGTTTACGAGAACAGAGCATGAGGATGAAGTTCAAAGTGACAGAGAGTGGGAGGAGCCTTCCCAAAAATGCATAGACAGCACAGTGCCCACAATCCTTTGCTCTAATTTGCTGCCCAGTAGATCCAGTCGGGTGAGTTTTTTTTTTTTGTTTTTTTTTGTTTTTTTTTTTAAATGTGCTTGGCGTACTGCCTCAACTAAAACTGATTTTGTGTGTGTGTGTGTGTGCGGCAGAGTAAAGGGTTGACAGATAGGAATTTGTGATCGAGGAGAACATCCTGTTGGGTGAGCAGCAACTCGTGTCTCTTGCTCAAGTCCTCTGTACAGTGGTGAAAGAAACAAATGTGTGTTCAGGCTCTCTTATCCACTTTGTCTCAGATGCAGCCTCCAATTACATACAGCAGGTGGATTGATTTGCAGAAAAAAAGAAAAAAAGAAAAAGAAAAAACAAACGTGTGCAGGCCACCAAATTTCCCAGCACAATCAGAAGCTAAGGGACTGAGGAGAATGGCTGTTGGAGGCACACTGGCCACTGGGTGTTTGCATTAAGTGCATGGTTGTGTGTACGCTGAAGCAATCCCAACATAAAGGACTACACATTCACCCTTGTAATTTACTTCTTAGTCCCTCCCTGAGTCCCTTTAACAATTACTGATACATCTGACTCTTCATTTGCCTGTTTGTCTGTAGATTTGCTATAAGGCAAGGAGGGCAGATCTAGATGAAGTGAGACTGAGAGACAGAAAGGGATAAAGTGGCAGGGAGGGAGAAAGATCATACTGTCAGTTCAAAGGCTCCTCAGTGTTTCTCCTTCCTTGCTTCTGTGTGTCCGTTTTTCTGAAAGCACTGAAGGCTGAAATAAATGCCCCCCTTCTTCTCCCTGTACATACTGCATCTCACTCGCTCTCTCCCAACTTCCTACTTCAATTCATCTCCTTCACATCGTTCCCAAAACTTCAAAATCTCTCATTCTGAAACCTTTAAACTGAATCTTGTTATCCTTCTGCTTTTTCCCCCTCCGCTTTCCCTTGATCCCTGATTCACAGTGTGTGTTGCTCTGTCGGGGGGTGATGCGGGTGCAGGGAGGGCGGCAGCAGGGCCGGGAGCGGCGACTGGGGAGTAGGAGGCGGGGAATGGGATGGGGACTGATGCTGATGGGAATGATGGTGGATAGGAGGACCATAGTGAGGAATAACAGGTGGAGTGGCAGGGAGGACGTAGGGAGTTGGGGACGGAGCTGGTGAGGATGAGTAGCCTCCAGCCATGCAGGAGTAGGCAGAGGTTCCTCCTCCAGAGAGCGTAGCCGTGGGGGAGCCAGGGAGGCCGTCAGCCAGTGGCTGATTGTAGAAGAAGTATGCACACTGTTGGATGAAGCTCTCGATGATTGTCTGGTAGGTGCGGGTAGCAGTCAGAGCATCCATGGTGGTGAAGTCTGGTCTCATGAGCGTGGGCCAGAAACAGATGGACAAGTTCTCACTGGTCATCAAGTTCATCTTGTTGTTCTGGCTCACCCTGGAAAACAGAAAGAAAGAAGTGAAATTATATGATCATTGTCGGCAGGCTACCCCCCCCCCAAATATCTGTAGGAAACATTTTTGATAAAACTCAAAGTTTCTAGAAAAAAAACTCATTATTTTGAAAACAAACATAAATCATACATAAAAGTAAACCAACACAGTTCCAGTGAACAGATTGCACACATTATTATTTGTTTATGTAAAGGAATGACATTGCTTCACTTCGCTAGGTTGCATCGACAACATCACACCACTGTCAACAGGAACATGGTGACATTGGTTATGCACATGCACCTAATCAAAATCAGTGTTTTATTTTATGTCTTAAATCTTGAATTGGCCCAGGATCTGATAAGGTCCTTCAGAGCATGAGCGTGTTTCACAAATTTTGAGTTTAGAATCTCACAGAATATAATTACGTTTTTTTCTTATGATGTGAAGTTCAAGAGTCTCTCAATTTACAACCATGTAGACGTGAAACTGTCTCTTGATAAGATAAAGAAAGCCCAAACTGTAAAATAACCTTATTTTTTTAATAACTGATATGCCCCTTCTTTTTTATTTAATCATCCTGTCACCTTTAGAGGGGGTTAGGCCCTCAGGTCGATGGCCACTATTTTATATACACTTTTGAATTCAGGTTTCAGTTTTCCTGACACATGCTGATAACAGAATTATTCATTTATTACATAAATTAAAATGTAACATCCACTACCCTCCATTTCAAAATAGAGATAACGTGACCACGGCATTAATGACGATCATTTCTCAGACTGAGTAAAACCTCTGGTCATCAGTAAGCTCATCACACTGATATCACCCTTGGGTCACTTGACTGTCTGACCAGTGGTGTAGTCAGCACAGTCGCCAGAAGCCATCTCTGACCCCCACCGTTCACTCACCTGTTCAAGTGGCTGATGACATATTTGAAGACCTCATAATTCTCCTTAGGGAAGCGGCGCAGAACATCCTTCATCGTCTGCAAGCGCTGCTCTCTGTCGTTGATCTCTGAATGGTGGCAAAGAGAGACGGGAGGTTAGCAGGAGGGAGAAAAGTGGCTTAAAGACAAGATTAGAAAAATCTGAGGAGAAGATGTCAGGGGAGAGCGAGTGGAGAGTAAAGAAAGATTAGGAAGGGATGGGGAGAGCACAACTGAATAGCAGAGAGATTGAAGAGCATAGGGGAGGCAATTTCAGCTCTAAAAGCAGAGGTCTGTGCAGGACACATTGATTTAATCCTAATATAAAATTTTCTCCCTGACAAAATCAAAAATATTTGAACGGACTCCAGACTAGATTCATAAAAATAATATATAAAAAAAAACAAAAACAAAAAACATTGGACAAGGACCGCACACACTGCAGCAGAAATACACCATGCATACACCCATTACAGTGTCCTGCAGCTTACAGCAACACACACACACACACACACACACACTCGCACACTGACACACACTCAGGGTGTGTTAAGCCTGATGGCAGTGAGGAGTGAGTCAGACAAACTGACGTCACCGGCTAACACAGTCCATTGAGAGTGCGGGAGTTTGTGTGTGTGTGTGTGCGTGAGTGAGGCAGAGAGCAGCAGCGAGAAACAGCAGATGTTCTCCTGCACATCACAAACATGATTTACAGTCGCACAATCTGAGTTTGTATTCCCACAATGAGGTCAGTGCGGATCAAAAACAGATCTGGGACCGAACGACTTTACACAGTCACAGTTTCCTCCCGCTCTACATCCATCACGAGCGATCAAAACTTAACTCGAGTTCCTTACAGCTTATTTAAAGTAATGTCACCATGACAATATCCACCAAAAATCCACCCACCAGCTTTTCTCTCCGTCGCCTTTTTCTCCACCTCTCTGCTAACCCCAATTTGCTATTTTCCACAAATGACGCCTTTCTCATCTCCAACTCTACCATAATTTTTCTTCTTCTTTCACCCTCACTTCTTTTCCTCTATTGTGGTACAGACTGCAGGAGCTTTATCAGGTCTCTGTCACAGCTGAAAGGTCACGCTGGGGGCGTTAGAAAACAAACACACACACACACACACACACTCAAAGACATGGGATGCAGAGCTCGGTGAGTGACAGCAGCCTCACGGCCCACGGTTAAATCTCTCTGGCATGATGCAAGACTAAGCTATGCTTTAAATCTCCATTCTGACAGATTACAGGACACAAAGAGAAAAAGCGAGGCTGTGGAGAGGGCAGGGGCACTCTCGTTTATCTAACATATTTTCTCATGACTTCATCCAGACCCTAGTGCTCCTGCATCCCTCATCACGCTGCGCAATCAGCCCCGCATCCTCCTTCTCAAAGCCTTAAATATTCTCCCCTCCATCCATTTCTCCTCCTCCCGTTTCCAGCCCTTTACCAAGTGACAAATCCAATTCTCCCCATGGGTGGATTTGGATTGCAGGAGTATTGCTTGTTAGGTTAAAGAAAAGTTACAATGAAGGGGAAAGGATTTCAGGCAAAATCCAATCCATCCTCGGGTTTTAGTGCAGAATTCCCCACACATGCCTCAACCTCACCGTCCCCACAGCCCCAGGACTTACTGAAGGCCTCCACCAGCTCTGTCTGCATGCTGTAGGGCACCAGAGGGTCAGGTAGCTCAGAGAAGAAGGCCTTCATGGCACCTGCCACTGTGTTGATGGTGAAGTCTTTCTCCACCAGATCGAGGCTGTGGTCTAAGGGGGAAAAAAATGAAAGGGAAATTCGACATTTTAAATGCAAGACAGATGTATGCCAAATATATACATCACAACTGTGCATGCATAGAATGTATAAGAAAAAATAACTCTTCTAATTTCATCTAGTCATCACGCCGGTATCATGAGATCAATGCTTTATCCCTGGACCACACAAGTAAAAGAAGGCAATTTAATACATTTGAGGACAGTGAACAAAATGGTACCACGTAGGGATGCATACATATTTATTGTTTTCCTCATTATTTAGTCCCCCTCTGCTGCAGGGAAAGAGAGTAATCTCTATTATGAAAAATAGCTGAACTGTCTTTCGGCTCTTTGTGCCATCTTTGAAGATATAGCCTAGCCAGTGCAAAATTCATTCACCGAACTGATGCCACTGTTGTGCGATTATCAGTGTTATTCTTTTGGCCAATCAGTCAATACGTTTGATCAAGACTTCTTTGCATCCATGGAACCGATTAACTTTTCATTCTGTGCTACTATTTTTTTCTTTGCTCATTGTACTCTCCTTTGAATATAAAACTACACAAATTCAATACAGCAGCATATGACATAATGCAATCTTGAATGACAGCTTATTCTTTTTTTTTTTTGGGCTGCTCCTTTTAGGGGTCCATCTTTCGTCTCACCCAATCGCTAGCATCCCCTTCTGTCACACCAATCCTCTTCATATCACGATATCACTACATTCATAAACCTTCTCTGTGGTATTTCTATTTTCTTCCTGCCTGGCAACTCCATCTTTAACATCCTTTGTCCAATATATTCACCATCCCTCCTCTGCACTTGTCTAAACCAGGTCATTCTTGCTGAGATGATTCTCTGATGTACTCATTACCAATCTTGTCCTTCCTCGTCACTCCCAGTGAAAATCTTAGCCTGTTTAACCCAGCCACCTGCAGTTCCACCTCCTGTCCAAACCATAGATCATAGCAGGTTTCAGTATCATCTTGTAAACCTTACCCAATATTTCAAACTTTCCGAGATCTATTCCCATTAACAGCAGTGCCTTGTAGAAATAATGGGAGATGATATAAATAATTTTTGTTTAATATGATGATGCACTTCAATTTGCTAGGTCGTCATAATGCCAATTTTCCTAGATGCTTCCAGTGTCACACATCTTAGAGACAAGGCTGGCCAAACAGACTTCTCACTTCATAGTTTACTTGATATAATTATCAAAGTAAACTATATCAAATAGCATCTCTGTTGATGTACCACAAATCATTTTAGTTAATAAACATAGTTAAATAGAACAATCAACGACAGATAATTGTAAAGTTAATTTGAGCAAAGAAAGAAACCAATAGAGCACCACTCTCCCAGAGAGCGTGTGTGTGGGAGACTTAATTAAAAAAGCCATTTTCTGATAACTTGTTACTTTACAAAGGTAGTATGTGCAGAAAAAAAGAGGCAAAACAGACAAGTCTCACAGCTTCAGTTTAACAAGTTCTTGAAAGTCTGATTTGAGCTCCCACTTTTAGAGTTTCCAAGCATAGAGCTTCTGATGCTGCTTCACCTGTGATGAGTTATCTGAATCTTCGTGGAAGTGACGAAGTGCCATCTTCAGCACTGCTATGAGACACCTGCGCTGTAGCTTCACCTGTAATTGTCTTGTCCCATCAGCCTGAGGCTCAGAATGATTCAACACTGGGTTTCAACTCTGATTACCAGAGTAGGATTTAACCTCAACCAGCCGTGGATGCATGAATACACACACACACACACACACGAGCCATCTTTCTGCGCCATCTATCTCGGCAGCTGCAAGCTTCATTAACCAAACCAATCTGCAGGCAATTAACTGCCCACACCAGACAGCCACATGCATGGAGACACACATCGAGGGCTCTTGTACCAAGTGAAGCTGCAAGCGCGCAGAGAAGTAGGTAGACGATGGAGGAGGCAGCAATCTAAGAGGAAGTGAAGGCTAATTCCCTCAGAAGAATTAATGCTCCAAGGTTAATTAAGGTGATACAAGATTGTAACAGATAGAAGCAGACAGACACCTGTAGGTGTGCATCTGAGGCATATGTGCACATGTACGTGTGAGTACAGTAGGCACAAAGTAACACACCTTGCTCAAATTGCCGCTGCATGCTCTCCATATCTGCCTTGTTCCCACAGACCCTGTAGATGCCCTCTGTGTTCAGGCCTGGTGGAAAGAGAAAGAAAGAGAGCAATGGTATTAGCTCACAGTTATTTTCATATGTTTAATTTGCAACAAGTGTCAACTATACGTGGGAGCTGCTGAAATAACATAGAATTGTGTGAGAAAAAGTACAGCTACTGAAGGCTGTGCTTTTTGCCTATGTCCCCTTCAATCTAAACACACTATTAGCACAATTTATTAACCCCATAAAGCACTCCTGCAGGTCTGCTAATAGCCCATTGGTCCATTGTGAGAAATTCAGGCCATCTTAGTGCCACAATGCTATAAAATAACATGAGAAATTGTAATTTGTTTTTCACAAGCTTTTTCTCTCCAAGTTAAAGTCAATAAACTCAACCACAATAATATGTACTTTATAAGAAAAGCAATGAAATCAAGCTAAAATTCCAAGTCATGATTTGACATTCTGAACAGACCGATAAAGAATTGTAGCAAATATGCATCCCTCAAACATGAGATCTCAAACCACGAACACAAGACAAAAGAGTAGCAATGAGTGCTACTTTTCCTACAAGCCTTACTGCTCCTATTGCTTACTGTTTAAATTTGTGTTTTTCCAGACTTTTAATGGCTCACAGCAGGTGCGCACTAATGCAACATGATTGAGGTAGCCAATTAAATGCTTATTATGTCAGGCTGTTGGATTTTATAATCTGTTTACTGCAATAATCTATTCTAATATAACCTACTATAATTTTTGACAAATGCACTGATTTTTCATACCAACTATGGCAAACACTTTCTTTACATATTAGAAAGTTTGCTAGTAGTCCAGAACACACACACCTAATGAACAAATTGGAAAAACTGCAAACAAGCCAAAGTGGGACAGAAAGACACATGGAGTGCCAGCATAAATGAAAGTGCACTTCATTTTGGTTAATTAATATATTCCCCCCCCCCAAATCTACATCCTTAAAATCCTGTATTCGCTGACACATTGGTGGCAATCTAAGAAGACAAAGAGCAATCCAGAGGGAGTAAAGGAGATGGGGAGTGGCAGAAAAAAAATGGGGCCTGAAAGGAACAGGCAGGGAGGAAATGAGAGAGCTCTCAGTCAAGGCATACAACATTGATCTCCTCCCCTCCTACCAATCAATTACCCACAAAAGCTTTTCGAGCCAGACACTAGGAAAACAGGGATGGGAGGACAGATACGGAGAGGGAGCAGTGTAGTAGTGGTGTGGTGAGGGAGAGATAGGTGCAAAATAGAAAAAGCACCCGAGGATGGGATGGCCACTGGGGGAGTGTGAGGATGCATAGTCAAGACTGATGAAAGAGAGAATGAGAAAAAAATAAAGGGATTAAGATAAGGAGGGCTAACCAGAAGGATGGAAAACTCCAAAACACACTACTGAGGGAGGTTAGGGGACAATGAGAAGAAGCTAGTGGCTATAGAAGGTGGAAAAAAAAAATTCCTTGTCCTCCTGATAAAATCACTCCGGGGGCACGGCAAAAATAAAAATGTACCTATGACAAACAAGTTTTTTTCTGCCCCCTCAGACATTTTCTTATATAGTAATAACCTTTTTAAGGCTTTTCCAATTCATAAAACAGTTTATATTCAACAAATGAATTATTGTCAGCTTTGGTGCATATACCTTTAAGCACTGCACACACATTTTAAACCAGAACAAAAACCTAAACTACACTAATCTGTGGTGACTTGTTAGCTTCCAGGAGCAATCAAATGGTCAAAAATGCCTGTGGGCCTGCAATCACACAAACCAAGAGTGCCATAAATGTTCCCGCCGCGTTAGAGGCTGCAATTCTGCAGAGTGTTACTATCTGACACCACTCCAGCTGATCCCACATCAGCCCAGATCCCAGTCTCTCTCAGGGTTCAGCAGCCCAGAGGCTGATTTCATAGTTCACCATGGAGACGAGCGGTCGCTGGGTGCTGCCCTTTTCGTCGCTATGGAGGCTTGTACGGCCGGCAGATATGCCTGCACACGCTAAGACACATTCATCACCTCAGTACCCATGAGCAGAGCACACTGCGACTACCACGCTGAGAAAGCCGGAGCTGAGAAGAGATAACAGCAGTCGCTGTGGATTGATTTTATATAGCTGCTTTTCTACAAGCTCAGAATGCATGAAAATAACACAAAATATCACATCCACTCCTATTATTCTCAAGGACAAAGAGAGTGAGCAATGAAGCACGAATAAAAGAAGCAACAGAAGACTTTAGGATTGAAACTACAAGAAGAGAAAAAAAGTGTTTTATTCACAACCAGAAAAAAATATGATTATGAACATTTGTGGGGCTTTTTATGTATATATTAAGGACTGGAGGATTACCTTTCATATTTACACAGCTGCATATAAGCAGGGACAGGGTTTGAAGCGAGACTATAAAACAAAATATTGATCATCTCTTTCACTGAAGTTCTAGTTTTTGAGATATTGACTGTAGAGATATTTGGCTTATGTTGGAATATAATGGCACGAGAAGGGTGAAATAAGCCATCCAACCATCCCTCTACCTGAGCTGAAAGCTAACTGCAAGCGTAATTTGGCTGGTGGATATAGTTTGGTATAAAGTAGTTTAAGTAACTGGGTCATGACGTCAGGAAAGAGACACTTTCACAGAGTTTCTCAGATGTATTTTTCTTTTTAAGCAGTGCAAGATGAGCTAAGGCAATTTCCATCATATTCAAGAGAAGGCATACATCTCTGCATCCAGTATCTCCAAACCTGGGTAACTCACACCAAATCGAATTTGATGGACAAATTGGTGGAAAAACATGTTTATTTGATTTCGGGCTGAAGTCTTCCTTCAAGTTAGCGCTAAGTGTTTTTGTTCGAGGTAAAAGGAAAAGGGAAGGATGTAGGTTAAAGCGGCAGGTCCAAGGTCAGCTTGACAACGTCACTCATTACCAGCTCGCACTGTAGTGACAAACATAGTGTCAGTGCTGTAAAGTAATTTCCTGAGAGTGTGATTATACCCAGAGATTACGGACGCAGATAGGATAAGTAAAGTCTGACTTTACAGCAGCTGCAATCAAAACTAAATAGCACATTGTAGCTCATTTCCCCTTCCAGTCCCAGAATTGTGCCCCATATATATACATACATACATACATACACACACACGCTGTTGGTTAATAAGATGTGTGAAGTTATACTGCTTACACATGCCTATACTCCTAGGTAAAACCCAAACAAGCCAAACACAGAAAAGAAACTTCATAACCATGGTGTAACTAAAACACACCCAACCGCATGCAAACAAAAGGTGTGGGGGAAGGACCGAAAGCAATGAAAGAGGAAACACAGGATTTGAGAACAGTAGGGAAAAAATATGATGACTAGACAAGGGTGACAACAGGACAGGGAAAGAAAAAGAAATGTGTGCTAGGAAGAAGATGAAGGAAATCAAATGTGACAAGTGTAGGTACTCGGAGAGATGGAGGGAGGAGGAGGAGCGGATCAGGAGAAAGAAGTTGAGAAACAAGGACACAGAAAGAGACGAGGGGAAAGGAAACGGCGCATTAGGAGAAATACTACAAAGCAGCGAGTGAGGATAATAGGTGGAAAATACCTCCCGAGGAGCTTGGAATTCACTCTTGTGCGTACTTGAATGCATATGCAACCAGTTTTTCTACTTTAACCAGGTGCAACTGCTGTAGCCACTTCCAGTGAACATCTGAACAGGGCGAGGTGAAACCTATCATGACGCTTTGTTATCGAGAGCTTTGCCCCTACGCTCCTGCACAGAGGAAGGCGGATGTTTTGTAAGGCCGCAGTAATCCACAAATACTGAGTCTTTAATCAGGACAGAGATTACAGTGGAATGCACTGGCATGTCAGTAAGCTTGGCCAAATGCAACTCCCATTATGAAGTTAATGTGTGCACATTTTTTTTATTAACTGACACCTTGAGTAGCTAAAATCCTTTTTATGGATCCAGCCGAGAAGAGGGAGAGGCGTGCGATGTCTTCACACGCGCACTGACCCCGCAAGACTTTGCTTCTGGTTTAATGTAACAGCTGGTAACAGAGTGAGAAGCAAGCTGGCAATCCTAGGGCAGTGGGGCAGCTGAGGAGCATGGCAACAGGGTAGCAAGGTTAGAGGAAGCTATCGGAGCGCGTGTGTCTGCGCTTGCAGAGAGGAGACAAGAGGCCAGGCAACAGACTAAAGACCTGTCAGCGAAACACAGCTGCAAAATTCACATAACACAGAGCAGATGAGAATATTTCATACTAATATTCTAACATACTTCATATTAAAGAAAAATTATGCTGCTTAAAATCAATGATTCTGTTTCTAAGGCAACAGAAAATACTGTCACCATAACCACGGCCATGTTTTCTTTGATGCTTTTACATGAACCACTTGCAACATGCCACATGAACCCTTTAATATTTATGTGAATGATTTCAAATTCAATTCATTTTCTTTTCCTTATTAAAAAGTGGGTTGTAGATGTTCTCCTGTATAGCCCACCTATAGGCTTAGGCACAATCATCAAATAAACCTGAGCAAAGAACAACAGAGACAAAGAAAATGCGTGAATGTAAATGTAAACCGACCAAGAAGAGAGGACGGATAAGGAAATATCCACCAGAAAAGAAACGATTCACACTAATGGAAGCAGCTGTAGTACATGCAGGGCCACAACAACAAAGTCATTTTATAAGAGTTATTAGCTAAACGACTGAAACACAAGAACCTGCGATGCACTGCACTGGATGCCATTAGGCGTCCGTACAGATCCTTACCCGTTGTTTCAATGAAATGGATGCACTTCTCGATGAAGACTGGGATTGGTCTCTCAGGAGTGACCACAGTGGATAGTGGCATGCCAAAGTAGCCAGGTTTTGAGATGGAATGCCTGGGTTTGGATCGTGGTTTCTAGGAAGAAAAAAAAAAAAAAAGATATATCAGAATGTTGGTAGCAAACAAAAGAAGAACATCAACATTTCCTGGTGGCACTGGTCTTGAAATGGCCATGACCTTATTTAAATGTGACTGTGTTGTTATGTTAGCAACTGTGAGACGAGACGTGTATGCACCTATCCCGCACATTCCTTAAAAGGTTAAACTTATATGGCTGCCTTAAGCCCTGATCTGTGCATATACCTGAGAGATATGCATCACTTATTTCATCACTTTATCTCTTCGTTCTTTTGTATGGCATTCTGTTTCTGTTTCTCTCTCTGCTACCGCACGCGCACTGCTGTTAACAGATAATCAAACTCCCTTATTCATTGTTTAAATACTTTCTTACTACCGTTATGGGAGTTGTGATACACTCTTGCAACATTTTTTGCCTGTTACTCCGTATGGCTGAGGCATCAGCAGTAATTGTGCTGTGCCTTAATGGTGTTCAGCAGGGATATTTGAAGGCCTCTGAGCCCTGGATCTCTAGTATGTCTGTCAGCCCCCTGAGGCTCTGGCCTGGAAGGCTGGGTGTCGAGCCAGAGATGCATGGTTGGCTGGACACACAGGCTGCTGGTGCAGTGCAGGCCTGACAGACACAAGAAAAGGAGCAGAGGAGTGCTCATTAGAGGGAAGAAGCACGGCGTGCCCTCTGCTCCAGATACTGGCCTCGCTGCACTCTGCCAAACATTTTCGATTGCACATATATTCACACTCACTCTCAGTGGTACTCGAGGGAACAAGTGGTGATAGATTCATTAAGACCGGGCAGATTAACAAAGGCTCACCTGGAGTTTTTTGCCATCGCCATGGCAAGATATTTTTCATTAGCCTTCTATGAATAAGGCCATTATTAGCACATGACTGTAGGCTAGAGTTATGTCTGTATGTGTCTTACCTTTAACTGTAGTTTCATTTTATCACATTCTTTTAAGAGCTTCAATTTTACATAGGCCAATGAGTTTCACTCTTCAGTCATTAGCGCACTCACTGTGATTTTCCCTTCTTAAATCGTATTAACTGCTAAAATATTAGGCGATGCTTAGTTAGCAAACAAATACATAAGAATATATTTTGCATCCAAGTATTTGCATTGGCCTCAAGACGCTCCTCTATGACAGCCTTTACAAAAAAGAACATTGTCAGCGCTTCGGTTGACAAAAAAAGCTCAAGTGAAAAAAATCCCTAAATGTCAAAAGATAAGAGTATAACAATGTATTCCAAGAAGAGTCTGCACCTCCTTCAAGAATCCCGTTAAGGTCTGGACTTACACTAAGTGATACATGTTAAATACCTGCAGATTCTCAGCCAGTCAGTTACAGCTTCCCAGTTATCGTTCCATCATAACCCCACATGAGCAGATTCCTAAGTCGAATTCCTTCACTTATCACTCTCCAGCTACCTCCTCCACTGCCTCTCTGACACTCCCTGGGACGTCCATGGGACCAGGGGTAGATTTGAACCCTGTATTCATGCGTTCACAAAACACTAACGTAAAGCTTCAATTGAATTTTAGGAACAGCAGAGAACTATTGTTGTTATAACTCGCTGCCAGTTTGGTTTCGAGCTCCATGTTGCAGCTCATAATTTATTTGTGTCCTGTCACACTGAGCGTGTTGTATATCTGTGCCCTATCTCAGTTTAGCAGACTGTCTCTATACGCCCACCCCCTCCTCCTGCATCCACTCTCCTCTCTTACTGTCTTCTCTCCCTGCAGTTTTGCCTTCTGGCCACTCCTTTCAGTTGCTGACTGAGACAGGATATGCTGCCAGCGCTGAGGAGACAAAACAGACCTCTACCACAAAATCAAAACACAACAGATCCTCAACAATAACACGCAGACACCACAGTGAGCATTTACACACACTGTAGGACACTGAAACACAAAGCCACTCAAAAGTTTTGTCATAACTCTTATTCCTCTCATCTCCATTTTCTTTCCATGGCTGTTTCTGAGCCTTTTGTTTGACTGTCTCCCTGCCTTTTATTTCCTGCATGAAGTCAGTGAACAAACTGGGTGACTGAAGAATTTCAAACACTTTTCTTTCTGGCTGAGTAAGTTAGGGGGAGAAAAAAAAGGTGCAGACGAAAGAGAGAGGAAACGTTTCCGGCCTCTCGCTGAGGGAGGGTGATCAGGACAAACACAGTTGGTCAGCGCCTGAGGTAAAGAGGGCTTTAAAATGGGCTAAGAGTGTAGCTTCCATTATTTGTTCCTAGACGTCATGATTCAGATTGGTAGACAGCGCCCTAAGGCTCTCTCCAAGAAAATGTTTACACTGCATAACGCCAAACAGTCACGTAAAAGACAACTGAAAAACAGGCTGAGTTAACCCCGACCAGCCAACAACAGGAATGGCTGGTTGTTTGCCAATGGAGAGGCACTGCCACAATACATCTCCCTGAAATGACCAAATAACTCAATAAAATGCCTTCCTGAAGGGATTTCAGGCTGCAGCAGACTGAAAATGGACACTTATCTTTCAGACAGCTGCTTAGAAAATAGGTGATGGAACTTGATCACTTTGTTACAACCACAATTAAGCCATAATGGCTTGTAATGTGGATATCCAGATCCCAAGACATGCCGTAGGGCACAAATCATGGGCACTGATATAACTAATGATGCTGACACTGGCCTACCTTCTGTTGGCTTTTTTTTTCTTCCTTTGGAAATGTGTGGGTTTAAAATGTGTCATGTAGTACAGGGCGGTATGACTGGAAATTTAAATCACAGGGTTTTTATGGATCCACTTTTGCTCTGCCCCTTTGCATAGAGAGGGTCAAAGCGTATGGTTGTGTAAAAATCACAGCTATTACATCTTGTGTACTTGCTAACATACAGTCACCGGCCACCTTGTTGGGTACATGCAAAACTGCTTTTTAATGCAAGCCAATCACGTGGGAATTTAATGCATTTAGGCATGTATACATCGTTAATTTGATCTGCAGAAGTTTTAAGTGAACATTTAAGTGACTCTGAATGTGGCATGGCTGCTGTCAGCATCAACGTTTAGAATTTGGGATGAACATGAAAGCATGCATCCATCCTGCCTTGTTCAGGTTTCTGGTGATGGAATAACATTGTGGAGGACATTTTCTTGGCACACTTTGGGGCTCTTTAAAGGCCACAGTTTACCTGAATACTGTTGCTGACCATGGGACCACCGCGTACCCATCTTCTGATGGCTGCTTCAGCAGAATAACAGCATGCCACAAAGCTCACGGCATCTCAAACTGACTTCTTGAACATAAGAGTGAGCTCGCTGTACTCAAACAGCCTCCACAGTCACCTGATCTTGATCCAATAAAGCACTTTTGGGATTTGGTGGAACAGGAGATTCACATTATTGATGTGCAGGTGACAACTGTGCAGCGACTGTGTGATGCTGTCATGTTAATATAGCCCCAAAGCACCCTGTTGAATCCATGCCACAAAGAATTAAGACCGTTCTGAAGGCAAAAGGATCTAACTCAATACTAGCAAGTACATAATAAAGTGCCACTGAGTGTACTACTTGAACTAGTCTGCTCACAAATCCTGCTACCTTGTGTTTTAAAGGTTCTCACTTTTTCCCCCCCAGTGGGATGAATGGCAACAAGTGCTACAGAATGCGATCTTAGCAGTTGAATTATCCGGGAGGACAGCTTCTATTCAGGTACTTGGACATCACATCTGAGTGTGTGAAAACATTAATCATCCCCCTCCTGTTCCTCTCTGCTGACAGCCATGGTAATTATCACAGACACAGAAGCACAACATACACAGATGTAACTGCTGTTCAGTTGGCACTTCTATACCGCACCATGTGTGTGAATGAACAGCATACCAGGCTGATAAGCCGAACACTGTAAGGTCACTGCATGTGGGTGAGAGACAAGCACAGGAAGGAAAAGAAATGAGGAGACAGAAATCAAGTAAAGTAGGAGATACGTGTGTCCAAAAGACAAGAATATAATGGGGGGAGAGGAAAAAAGTGACAGGAATGTGAGAAGCAGTATGAATCAGCAAGAACAGGAGACCAAACTGAGAATATGAGAAAAGTAACGGAAGGAAGCAAATAAAGATAATCAGTCCAGTCTTAGTCAAAACTTCACTGCAGTACGACAGTAAAAGCAACAAAAACACGGCCCTAAGTTACACATTACACTACATATAGTACTCTGCTGTTACATACAGACTTCACATACCGTAGATCAATCTAAAAAGGAAGGTTTTAATTTGAAACAAAGATTACTTTCCTTATATTCTTATTCTGTTTTTTTGCTTGTTAGTGCTATTAGCAGGGATGTTAGCACCTAGTTTTCTAAAAGTCTGCAGTGATTTAGTATCTGTTTTAATCTGTTTTAAGTGCCAGTATAGAAAGACGTTTAAGAACCTTGCAAAAGATCAATGTCTAACATTATTCCTCTAGGGAAACCTGAAGATACCAGATAGAGATGGACACAGACAGATGAAATAGCACAGTCTATACCACGGCTCTGTCCCTATTCATTAAGAGTTTCTGCTTTCTGGTATAGAGGTTTACTGACCAGAGTTTGCCTCCATTATCTCTGATGATCTGGGTAGTTTAGAGGGATCCCACAGAGCGGTCAGTGAAAAAATATTGCAGACATCCTTTTATACAAACCCCCTACAGTATATGTCATGTTATCAGTGGGCTAAGCTTCAGAGAAGACAGATCTTTCTCAACTCATTAGAAATTCCTTGAGTTTAGTTAGAAACACATTTAATCGCAACAGCAAACAGCTGTTCAATCTCAAACAAGAACTAATCATATTGGAGATTATGGACATTTTATGCGTCTATTTTCTACATGTATACAGATGAATTTATATAAACTATATGTAAACACACTTGCCCCTTTGAGGTATTTTTCATACAGATTTTCTATACATTATAATTATATGTGAGGCAAATATATTAAAAAGTAAACCTGGCATGTTTTGAATATTTAAAATTAACCATTACAAAGGTTTTCTTCTTTTGCTTAAAAAATAATTTTACCTTACTTTAGCATTAGACACTTTAATCTGCCAAAACAATTAAAGGACGTGAGGAGGTTATTAAGAAAATTTTACAGTTTAAAATGCACCTGAGTAGGCGATTGGTTCAATAATAAATACTGAACATTTGGCAATAAAGCTTGGTAACTGTTGTGTTGGAAACTGCTAAACTAAGAAAAAGAAAGTGCTCTGAATTTATGAGTTAATTTACAGAATTTTTTAAACCAAAATGGCACTCATATTGAACTTAAGCAGATAGTTGCATGAACACTAACCTTAGTTCTGCGCAGGCTTTTGAGAATATTTCTCTTTTTAGGATCCTCACTATCCTCAGTGGAGTTGTCTTTCTTAAGTCCTTCGTCATCCTGGCTCGCCTTGAATGAACTCCCCATCTCATCATCGCTGCCGATAGAAAAGCTCGTCCTAAAATTGCTGAACTTCCCAAGCCGTTTGGATCTGTCTCTGTAAAGCTTAGGCTTAATGCCAATCGCAGACAATTTTCTTCTGCGCTCCAGTGAACTGCTATCAGCTTCACTGTCTGACCCATTCCCCCCAGCACTCCCATTTGAATGACCCTTGTTGGCATTGCGGATGGTGATAATCTTGCCCTGTGTGCTGTCATGTGGGACAGAGTAAATATTTTCCTCTTCTGTGTGTCTAGGTTTGCTCACAGCATCCATTGGCTCAGCATAGTCTGAGGGGTCATAGCCACCATCACTACCTCGGGCCCAGGTGACAGCTTGGGGCAAAGAGCGGCGGTTGGTGCCTCCCTGTTGGTCCATGTAAGGGCCAAGATTAACCTTAAGGACTGGCTTGGGCTTCACTTGTGGAGGAACTTTGTTGTTCACCTTGCTCTCAAAAGTGCTAAGCTCGGAAATGAAAGAGAAGGGATCATCTGAATCCATTTCTGACAGCTTGAAGCTTCCCAGTTGGGAGCTGAGAGTATCCTCCCTCAGGGTAGGGTAAGGAGGTGATGGATCAATATCATCTTCTGAGTCCAAAAGTGTAACCGGGCTGGGAGAGCCACCACGAGGGCTGACGCTCTCATTGGTGCATGCCTCTGCTACATTGTCATACATGTGTGTGGCCTCAACAATGGTGCGCTTCTCCATCGCCTCTTTTAAGAAAGGCTGGAAGAGATCTATCTTATGAAGACCACCTACTACGCCACCATGTCCACATATTACCGTGTTAAATCTTGCCTCTATTTCATGAGCCAATTCTTCCCCCTGAATAACTTGTTCCTTAGCAGAGTCTGAATCTGACAGCTCCATCTGGCTCTCCCCTACTGCTAATAACTGGATTGGGATGATGTCTTGTACCTCACACAGAAAAGCACATAATGTCTCCAAAGAGGCCTTGCGGCGAGTAGAGTAAACAGCAATGTAGCCATGGACGAGCCCAGCCTTGCGAAGGGCTAATGAGGAATGGAAGGAGAGCAATGACAGCTCGATATTCTGCTTCTGACCTCCTATACTAAGATCCAGCAGAACAGAGGTGCCACCACCGAGGCTTGAGGAAGGACGACAATGCTGGGGCAAAAGGAAGGGAGCAAGGAGTTGGTCTAGGTCGTAGGTGTCTCCGCACATCAGGCACATGACTATCCTCAGGTCTGCCTCGAGCATTGACTGGGACTGAGAGTCTCTGGAGGATGGAGGAGGTAGTGGAGGGGAGCTGCTCCCTATGTTTCTACGTATTTCTAAGAGTCCTTTCAACATCTGAGTGATCTGCTTCTCGCTGACATTGCGGCCATAACCCATGCCTGGAGAGGCAGGGTCTAGGTAAGAACTCTGTAGCTTTGCAGCTACCTGCTGCCCTTGTTGTATGAGAGTTTGAGCTGTCTCCCCTCCAATATCCCCTATGGACCCCACCCCCCTCTTGGTGACCAGAAGGAGGGACAGTGGCAGTTGAGATAAGCTGTTTTCCCTTTCCCTTCTGCTAATAGTCGACTCTCTAAGCTTCTCTATACTCTCAACAACATAGGAGAGAGATTCCTTTGAATTGTACAAACATAGGCAGCCATGCGGTGTAAAGGTTGGTGTGTAGAAGGAATTAACTGGGAGGCGTACATTGCCCTCTATGGGACGGAGGGTCAGCTCATACAGTTTTCCATCTAACACGTACCGGTCGTCACTGGTGCACAAGGCTCTTATCTCATTGGCCATCTCTCTGGCTAGCCCATCTTTTCCTAGAATGACAAGATTTATCCGTTCAGCTCTCCCCCCTTCCAGTCTCGCACAGTCTGATGAAGGGTACCGAGTTGGGAATCTGGAGGCCAGTATCTGCTCTATCTTAGTATCCACACAGTGTGGATTGTTGGGACAGGATTCCTTTGTGGGGTGATAGATAAAGTGGATATGTTTCAGTACAAGAGCATCCCTTTCTGCCTGCAGCTTCTGAAGGGCCTTAAATCTTTGCTCCTCCCCCAGCACTTCTCGAATGGCTCCCATTTTCTCTGTACTCGGTTTTGCATCCAACTCTAACTCATAAAAGAGCTCAGAATATTCAAGGAGCAATTCTTGAAAGTCTTCTTTGGCCCGGTCGATGATTTCTTTCTGGTGTTTATTGTAGATATCCAGATATTCAGCTTCATCCAGCCACTGGTAGAACTCTTCATTCATGATGAAGCTTCTGGCCTCCTCCCATGGCTTCCCTGGTGTGATAAAAGGAGAGACACTTAACTTCTCCTTGAACTCCCATCTCATTTCAGCCCGTTTCCGCTCATTCCTTAGCTGCTCCAGATGGGACTCATAAATGGCTTCCGCTGCTGGTGTCTCCAGTAGGTCTTGTGGGATGCGATCATCTTCCATGTTATCAATGTGTGTTGTGGTCTCCCAAGGTGTATCATCTAGCACAACAAACCACTGACAGAAATCTCTTTTAGTCTCCAGGACTTTCTGAACTCCAGACCAGCTCAAGTGGTCTATCTCATCCAACTGTGGTAAGAGTGTAGACAGTGCCTGTGGCAGAGTACTTAGATAGAGCTTCCTAAGTTTCTCTATGTGTTCTTGTTTAAGTCTATGCACATGCTGCTGGAAGAGCTTCTTGGCTTTAGCAGTGCCCTCAAGAAAAACATAGTCCTTGTACTCGGGGGCAGTCTGCATGCGCCGACTGACAACAGGCCATGTCTCATTGTAGTTCTTTACAATTCGGTTGACCAGCCACTCATAGCGGTCTTTGGCTGAGGCAATCTGTTGACTCTGCTGTTTCAGTGCCTCAAAGTAGGGGATAATCTTGGGCTTTCCCCTACTCTTGTCTATTAATTGAATCAGTGTAAAAAAGGCTAGGTCAACATTGACATTGGAACGTGCTGAGGTTTCTACCACCTGTAGATTCTTCTTAGTTAGGGCAAAAGTGTGTGAGTCTTTAATATACCGCTCAACACCTTCATCACATTTGGTAAGGACCAGAACCACAGGCTTTTTTGTTTTTGCTAGCTGGTTATATAGGTTGGTAACAAACTTCATCTGATCCTCAAAGCTACGGTTCATACCCCTGCTAACATCTACAGAGAGTAAGAAGCCATCCACCATAAGCTTGCCTTCCGGCATCTGTTTCTGCTCAAAGTCTTGCTCCAGCCCCAGCTGATCTGTGCAAAAGTACATCAGCTTTTCAGCTGAAGCCAGCTTGGTGGAAGCTGCCCTCTTGATGTAAGGCTGCAGTGCCGTGCTTCGGTGTGGCTGAAACGTCTGATCATCGATGAACTCAGTCTGCTCCACCACATTTATACGGCATTCTGACCCCTCCTCCATTGTCCTTACAGCCTCTCCCCAGTATAGGAAGTGGTCATTGTTCACTACACGCCCTCCAAAGTCACTGGTACTGAGAACAGAGGTGTGATCTAGGTAGAAGTCATCTGCACTTGGCCGGACAAAGCGGTTACACAGGCAGGACTTGCCCACACCGCATTGCCCTTTCTCCTTCTCTGTGCCGGACAGCCCAAGCACAACCAGGTTGTAGGTGGGTGGCCGCGGATCTTGCTTTTTGGCCATCATCGTTGCTGGCAGAGGCTCATCCTGCCATGCTGGCCGTGAGCTCTAGAGAGAGGAACAGGCTGCCAAGGAAGCAGGGTTTCCATGCAAGAGAAGCTCACTGGTCTGAGGCTTGGTCCTGCATGATAGAAAGAGAGAGACAAAAGTGAGATTTAATCTAGAGATATACAAAAAAAAATTCCACTATTCTAATGACAACCTTTAGCTACTGTGCCTCGCATCTAAATTCCTACTATGTGCCTGTGTTCTGTTAACAATTGTTAATCTCTGATCCTATTCCTCCACTGAATATTTCCTGAAAAGATTGAGGTCAGTGGTAAAGCTGTTGGAATGCTGCATATTACTTAACCCAGCTGTAACTCAGTTAAAGGCAATTTTTTCCCAGTTTAACTCATTTAATTTTAATGCTGCCAGAACTGCAGTGCTAACAGTGGTGCCTTCCACATTTCATTCTCATGTTCATTGCAACGCAATGTGTGTTTTGGCTTATTATCTGGCTTCTAACAGTCTGGTTGGTTTGCCTCACTCGCAGCAACATTGGAGGAAAGTAATGTAGCTCTTTCACTACTGCAGCAAACAGACAAACGACTGTGCACGCAAACATATGCACACAAGTAGCACGACACTCTTGTAGAAAAAGGCACACCAAGCTCTCGGCACCCTAAATGAAAGACACACACAGGAAGATGAAAGAAGATAAGTGTTCCAGAGCTAAAGTTACTAATTGGCCAACTAGGGAAAGCCATCTGCATTTTAAAAGGCTGCATTGCCTGTTGGCTGACTTGTTTCCATCAAAAACATGTTTTCCTATGTTTATAACCAAACAGATAAGAGTTGGCTCCTGTACCATCATTAATGTCATGCATATTTACCTAAATCAGAAGCAAGAAATGGCTGCATTGCAAGTAAGAAAAAGGCAAAAACACATAAGACCATATAGAGATGCTTAGTTGCTCATCTCAGTATTATTTATTCGACTGGTAGATTAGGTCTAAAAATAAGTTAAGAAAAGGGAAAGGATGAGGCATGAAAGGGTGTTACAACACAATTTGTATGGAATGAAAATCTTGTTAAGCTCTCAGACAGATAGCATGCACTGCATTTCAAAATGATGGAGACCACCCCCTCCATGTCATAACTGAGTCATTTATGTAGTAAAAACAGACATTAAAACCACTATTAATCACGAACAGCTCTTTTGACAGAGAACACAAAAGCAGCCAAAGCCTTCATTATTTTTGAATCGAGTTTGTCAGGCAACACAGATCTGCGGATTCCCTAAAATGAACCTCACTGTCCAACTCTGATTCACCAGAGATACAAACAATGACAAGAAAAAAATGGTAAGAAACTTGTGTGTGTTAGAAAATAGTGTAGACTTTAAAAAAAGCTACACCCAACCTGCTATGTAATGACTACTACATCTTTTATATACTGCATTTCTGAGTTTCATTTGAAAGGGAGTGCCACTAATCAAAGTTCCCAGCTGAAGCCTAGTGTTTTGCTAAAAGTAAATTCCACTCAGGCTGTGGATTAAAATTACAGAGACAAGAGTGCCCCTGTGCTTTACCAGGTGTATAACCCAGCACCAGCAGGAAAAGGAATCCATATCAAATAGAATACCTCGTGTTTTGATATTTATAGAGGAAACATGCATGAAAAATGCATCAAAGCTCACAGAGGTGGACCAAATCCCTATAATAACAACATGCATTGTACACTGTGTACAGCCTGACTTGATGGTCGATAGGATCAAATACGAATATGACCTAGGAATTGTGATTAATTCATCTCCTTCTCTAGCTGGGCATGTGTGTGTCTACTTGATAGTATATGAATGTACACACACCACTTTAACTGGATGGGAAGGACTGCACTGTGGTATTTATCGAGGTATCTGTGGGTTAATAACAAACCTGTTCACTGACCTAATTATGTTCGCATTACACAGATGACCTCAGCAGATCCCTCAACTGCATTCCCCAGAAAGAAAAGAGACCTGCTGCCCCTGGACATGGTCCACTGACTTAATTGAACATCTATTCAGCATAATAATAATAATCATTTCTTAATATACAGTGTCTACATGATCCTTTGCTGTGCTGTATACAGACATCCTTCACAGACATGAAATTAAAAAGCTGCATGGTACTCAAGACCATCAATAAATACAATACATACTACAATACATATTTGTAGCTGCCATATTATTAGTGGATCCCTCATACGTGGTAACCTTTAATTTTACAGCTACTGCTAGTCTGTACAGCAATGTCACTTATTATAAATTGCATATACTGCATTTCTTTTTATTCCCCCAGAGTAAACCAAAAGGGATTTCTGGTAGGTCTGCGGGCTCTATTTTTGCATTGCTAGCTTGTAAAACTTATCTCTGTAGCGTAAACTGTTGTGACATGCTTGAAGTAGCTGTCTACTGCATGAGCTGAGAGGGGGTATTACCTTTACAGATAAGTAAGGAAACCCTAGTGCAGAACCACATTAGCATGAATGTTTCATCTGAGCTTGCACATGCGTGCACATAAAGATGCCCCAGAATGTATCCTATGTAATCAAGATCCTGGTGATGATCACTTCATGTGTGAAATAGGTCATGTTTGCGACCAGCAGTGAGGGTCTGGATTAAGTGCAGTCAAGCACTCCAAAATTCTATATGGACTTGGCGGCTGGCCAGGCTCAGCACTCTTACAGATGCCCTGCTAGCATCTGCTCTGCTGACCCTACCTATCTTTTTCTAATTATGTTCCCGTGTGTGCAAGGTGTACATGGACCTCCAAGTTCATATAGATTTTGTGACAGTCAGCCCACATATTCACTAGAGCAGAGTGCAAGTTAATGTGTGTGCATCCGCGCGTGTGTGTGTATGACAAGGAGATAGGCTTAAAAAGAAAAAAGTAGCAACAAAAAAAAGTGTTGATGTTATTTTTGCTGGTCTGTTGTGAGGATGCAATAGTTTCCAACACAGCGAATAATAGAGAAAAATGAAATGTCTCGCTGAGTGACGGCTGCACCAAAGTCACTGACAGAAACAGAATTTATATTAAACTGCAACTGCACAATTCAGCTTGTTTCTACAGCACGTCTGCTGGCAGCCTAAGTGCAGCATTTCACACAATAGATCTAGTCATTAGGGGAATACATTTCCTCTTTCCCATAAAGACACCACTGCTTGTGCTTAGCTAGTCTCAGTGCAGCAGTCCAGGTGCAGAATAGTCAGGCAGACAGTTTCCTAGTTCACCCCGAGGCCTGGTGTCTGCTGCGCATGTCCAGCCGCATACCACCATCTCGAGGCCCTGGGCTGGTTTAAGGCCTGCATTGTATCTGCCTTCGACCCTGAAACGTGACAGTAGGCAGAATGACGGGAGATGGAAAGGAGGGCAAGGCACTGTAGGGAGGCAAAGGAGGGTGTGAAGTTTGTACCCCCATCCTCTCCATGTGCACTAACGAGAATGGGTACAAGAGGAAGGAGAGAGAGAGGTCAGCAACCTGGGTCATGTGAGTTGGAGATTGGAATTCCCTGAGGGAGGGCGTGGTGAGGCGCAGAGGATACAAGGGTCAAAGTCTGACCCATCCCATCACTCACCCCCCTGTGTAATCGCAAATAGCATTATAAGCATGGTCTACCCAAATACCACATCTCCATTTGCCTGATTATTTCATTCCCTCCTTTTAAACTGTTTAAAAGCAGGAAAGATACAGCAATCTTGCCTTGACTGAACCAGCCCTTTAGGACACTCGCTCTCCCTCAAGGACAAAGTAGGGGCAGATATGATGTGTCTGTGAGGTACTGGAGTTCAGCCTTAAGGTAATGCTGGGGCGTCAGGGCATGAAGTTCAGAATAACACGTGCTACAAAGGGCAGCAAGGGAGAGTCCCTTTGTAGCTGCATGGCCCGTGAGGCCATCCAGCTTTCAAGAGTTGGCTGCATTCCTTTCATTACAGAGTTACAACAGTTAGCAAGGGAGGATGACAGCCAGGCCTGTTTTGATACACACAGAAATCCTTACAGACTGGAAATGTTGGACAAGAGAGAGTCCATATGGATTGAATGGGATGACCATGACTGAAAGCTATATCTACGGAGAAAGAATTTTAAAGTCAGAGTCAGAAAAATAGTTGTGATGGAAATAAATGTTGAGTTGAAGTGCAACACTGTTAGTAAAGGTCAAGTATTTTATAGATTATAGAGTCAAAGAAAAGTATAGTAGAAATAATATTTCTGATAAAAGAAGGAGTACTTTATCACTTTTCTTAAGTTGCTGCCAAAAGCATCAGATATGCCTCAGAGAATCTCACACAGTACAGTGTGAACAGTGCTAAGCAAGGACAAACTAGGAAGCCGAGTTTCCCAGAAAACCTTCTGGTTGTAGAGTAATACACACTCAGGAAAGGCTGGGAGTTGACAGAAACAAAGGTCATGAAATAGTCATGAAGTGTGCAGTGTGGTGATGAGGATTATGATGATGACAGAGAGGCAGCAGGGGAAAAAAAATAAAAAAAATAAAATCTCTCTCCTGTATTCTCGAAGATTCAAGAGTGAATGACCCTTCCTTTGTCTTTGTCCACAGCGTGCCCCCCCTTACCCCCCCTTGGATGAATTAGGTCTGCAGCTAGTTGTACTTCTCTAGTCTCACCCAGAACATTACCATCATCATATAGATTTCCGATTCCCATCTGTCAAGAATCCCTTCTCCATCGCCTGCTCCCATTTTGCCCCTCCTCTGGAGACTTGCTGTCCATTAGTAAGATACTAGGGTTGTGGCCAACGCATTGGGGCTGTGTGTGGGTGTCGACAGTCCTTCCACTGATGCTGCTTCCTGTTCAGGGTGGGTCGGCTCGCAGTGGAAAGGAATTAATTGATATGAATGCTGAGTTAGAAACAACTCATTTTAAACATCACTTAACCAGCGAAGCGCACAGACGTGGGTCTTACAGTGACTCAAATAATGTATATACATCTATATGTAAATGCCTCCGCACTTCACATTCACTGCCCTTTACGCGAAGTGCTCTGTGGCGCAGTGCATTCAGCGTAACCACTTAAACAGAAGGCATTTGCCTTTTCCACATATGCAGCACATCCGTCAATCACACACCAAAC